TGTCTATGCCTTAGGCGGGATTTTCTCCCTAGGAACATTTGAAGTAGGGATAAACTGCTTTTTGAAGCATAAGATTGTGCTTCTTTATATATATATATTGGTGGTCAAGGGCTAAATCACTCTGAGTCTCTGGATATACAGCAGCATATAAATTGATATGAACTAACAAATAAATGTGGCTTTCTGGATTTAAATATAATGAAACATTCTTTTAATGGACTAATTGAGGGAGAAATGCCCTTTATTCAGGAACATCAAGTAAGTCAGAAACTATAGTATTTACATCATTTGTATGATGACAGCAATGTGAAAGTTAAATCATTTGCATCAATTTGTCTCACAGCAGGAATTTGGTCTGCTATATAGAAATTTCACTGTATCAGGGACTTGTGTACTGCATGAGTCAAAAAGAGGGCTGTGAAAATATCTACAGACCAGGGGTGGGTTACAATTTATTTTACTATTGGTTCACTCATGTGCAGAAGCGTCTGGGTAGGTGGGCGGAGTCTCCCACTGCCGCCACTACCTGTTCGCTCGATTTGAGGGCGAACTGGCAGAAAGCCACCTCTGCTACAGACCCCTCACATCCTGGACATAAATTGTTTCAACTTCTACCCTCAAAATGACACTACACGACAGTAATGGCTAACTCTTTTTGGATTGTGTGCCAAAAGCCGGGGGAGCGCAGGGGGGTCGTGCATGGGTGTGCCCACACCCATAATGCTATATGCATGACCCCCATCCTCCCCTCCCCACTTTTGGCCCGCGATGGACCCATTTTTCACCATCTCCGGGCTCCAGAGGCTTTCTAAGAGCCTGGTGAGGGCAAAAACAGCCTCCACACACACACACACACCGGTGGCCCTCTGGAGGCTTCAGAAGCTTCCCTGAAGATTCCAGAAGATGAAAAATGGCTGTACTGGCAACCCGGAAGTTTGGGGATAGTGACTTCCAGTTTGCCCATAGGACCATTTTTTGCCCTCTGGAGCCTTTAGGAGGCTTCCCTGAAGGCTCCAGAGTGCAAAAAATGGCCCAATGTTCAAACCAAAAGTCTGTTCCTGAACTTCCAGTTTGCATGTTGGGTGGTTTTTCCCAAACTTCCGGTTTGCATGTGGAGGATGAAAAACAGCTGAAAAAGAAGGCTGAAGTCAGTTGGCCAGCACATGCATGCGCACTGGAGCTGACAGGGCAATGCCTCCCGTGCCTTAACAAATGGCTCCACATGCCACCTGTGACACACGTGCCTTAGGTTCACCATCACTCTGCTTAACAACTAATTCCCACAACACTGTCAATAATTTACTAAGAATATATTACTATTATTCTTCTCTTCCTTCCTAGTATCTATCTCTCCACACTTATGACTATAACCATGTTGCTAGTATCTTTCAAATTGTATTGTTTTTATTGTTTCATTGTACTATTGTTTCATTGTACTATTG